CTTCCCCTGCTCCCGGGTTTGGCCGTGTAGCTAAATTCCACCCAACAAGATAAAGTGAAGTTGTCCCGTGCATCTTCTAGGAAGAGCCCTCAAAGGGAAGAGGTGCACCTTTCTCTGAAACTTCCTGCTTCCTGTTGGCTGGAATGCAGATGGGATGGCTGGAGCCTGAGCAGACATTTTAGATCCAGAGGTGGAAATTCAAGTGCTGAGAAAGGCAGAGCCACAAGACAGCAGGAGCCTAGGTCCCTGTCACAGCCCAGGATTGCCTCCCTCACAGGAGATTAATTCCGAAGTCAAACCTCTAGCACTTGGGGTCTTCCACCCCGTGTAACCAACCCTAATCCCAACTGATGTGCTACATAAAACGCCTGTTATGCGACCCTCCTTGTTCATGCCTACTATGATCGCCTCCCTATTAGTAAGGAGAATAAGAAATATGCCCCACCTTTGAGAAGTTCGCACCCCCCCCAGGGGAGTCCGCCAGCCTGCGTCTCAGCCCTGGCCAGCTGTGTGACCTAGGGCAAGCAGCCTCGCCTCTCTGGGTCTCAGCTGTTCCGATTCCACCACGAGAGGATAGGCCCCAACAATCTCCAGGAGTCTGGAGAAAGGAAGGTTATTGCAACAGTGAAAATAGGAGAAAGGTGAGGAAGAGTGAGATCTGGAGGGGCAAAAGAAAGGCCTTCAGGAGCGGGGCGGGCGGGTCTGTCAGGGCTCCTCTGCTGCAAGCGACGGAAGCCAGCACCACCTGACCTGGAGGGCAGAAGGCGGACTTATCCGCTCGTGGAAGGGGACACCCCGCAGTTCCCTCTTCCTGGCTGGCTTTAGGGCAACTGAACCTGACTCACCAGTTCCACATCCCAGAGCCCGTTCATTTCAGCCCCCAGCTCCTGGTCCCACGTTCAGTGTTAGGAATCCTTTTGCTTGCAAGTGAAATCCCTTCCTGGTGCAACCAAAAAGCGAAGACCAGCTTCCAACACCAGACAGAGCACGGACTCCAGGCATGGCTGGACCCAAGGATCCGAATTCCTCCTGAGGAGTTCAGTTTCTCTCTCTCTGTTTCTCACCTCTGCTTTGTCTGGGCGGGCTCCTTCTCAGGCAGGTTGATGGGCTCAGTCACCAAGGCCAGGTCCACGCCCATCATACAGCGAGAGGAGAGAGCTAGTGCCTCCACTGAGATGTCACTTCAGGGCAAAGAAGAGGGTCTTACTCTGAGAAGGGTGGGGGCATCCGAGAAGGCTTCATCAAAATGGCGTGACTTGGAGATACCAGCTGGACGGGGGGGAAGGACATTCCAGGCAGAGGGGACAGCCAGGGCAACAAACAGCCCTGCCTGCCAGACTGAATGTCTTAGGCTCTGTCCTGGGGACAGTGGGGAGCTATGGACAGGTATAGAGCTGGGGAGGACCACAATCACATTTTCATCCCTTGTTGGTGCAGTGGAAAGTGCATGACAGCTGGAGGAAAACTAGAAGCAGGCCGGAGTCGGGAAGGGGGCTTCTGTGTCACCAGCCTGCACCACAGGGCTTGTGGGGGAGGAGGGTGGGGGAGGGCAGAGAACTTCTGGAATCAAGTCGACAGGACTGAAATGTGGAGGGCAAGGAGCCCAGGACCGGGGAAGTCTGGGAGTCCAGTCTCGTGGTGTGGCTACCAGTGGGCTTCAGGCTGGCAGAAGGCAGGGGGCAGGAGAAAATGGTATTGCCAACTCTGGGGACTGGTAGAGCCATCGAGTCTTTGTGATTCAGTTTGGCTGATTCTTGGATGCTTCTAGGGATGGGGAGCTCACCCCTTCTGTAGCTCTGACCTAAATAAACTATGGACTCAAATCTATCCCCCTAGAGTGGGACACAGCTTCGTGCCCCGTGCCCTCACCGTGGGGGCCTCCCTGCCCCAGGCCAGCCCTTGATTAGGGCACCTGATGCTGCCTCCTTAAGTCTGTCCTTCTCCAGTCCCAACAGGGAAGGGCCCCCCAGAGTGTGGGACAAAGACCCCTGGGGGTCCTGGGGAGGATGTAGATGTTACTCAGACACCAAGTATCACGGATCCACAGAGAGGAAAGCAGGCTCCTTCCCACCCTCCTCCTGTCTCTCTGGCTGAGAGTCTTCATGAGGGGCCAGGGCATTTGAGCGGCTTAAGCACAGGCGTGTGGCTTTGCTGAGCAGCGTGTGCAGGCCTCCATCATGGCTGGTGTGACCCTAATGACGCTGCTGGGTTTCCGCTGTGGCTACTTTGGCGCTGTGTTTCTATTTTGAGCAAGTGATGATGGTTTGCCATATATGGTTGACCCCCAGTGACCCAGCTGAATACTGGCTCCAGAGGCCCCAGTCCCTAGCCCGTGGCTGGGAAGTGGAGGGCGGGGGCTCGCCCTGGGATGATCCTGCAGCCAGGTCCATGGGCACAGGGAGCCTGATGAGCAGGAACCCCCTCTGCAAACACTGCCAGTATTAGCAACTTACACGCCGCCACAAGTCCTCTCCCGCTCCCTCCTCCTGCCAGCTTCCTTTGCTAGGCATAACCCGTTGCCGGTTGGAGGGTCCCCTTCTCGAATGTTTGCCTTGGACTTACTGTCTCCTGTGTAATGTGAAAGGGATTGTGCAGTTTGTATTGGGCCACGTCCTGATAGTGGTGGTGGTTTTTGAGAACCGAAGATTTTAGCATTTTAATACATAGCCTCGCTTTTGTTTCATAATATTCCACAATATGGAATATCTGTAATTCTTGTAACTGAGCCTTCTCAGAAATATGGGACTTTTTCCCCCCACATGACACCTTAGAGGCACAGGCACTTCACCTTGTGAGGTAACAGAAAATTAAGCTCTGAGCATCTTGGTTCATCACTCTCCTAAGATCAGCCTCATCCTTGTCCAAGCAGACTCAGCCATTACAAGGAATTGTAACAGGGCTCACAGAGTGACCACTGGCAGCCAGGACCTGGGGGACCATCAAATGCTCATCAAACTGTCCTCTGAGCTGGAAGCTGGGGCTGCCGGGCCCTACAGAAGAGGAAACCGAGGCTGGGAGGTGGGCAGCACTTGCCAGTGGTGCAGCTGGGTTGGCCCCACAGTTACCCTCCAAGGATGTCTGCTCTGCCAGGAGGATTCCTCCAGGTGATTTTTTTTTCTGTGGCCTCAGTTTTCCCTTGATGTTGATGATGATGATAATGATACGCATAGCAGATGACATTTTGAGCACTTTTCTTTGCGCCAGACACTAACATCCCACTACAGGTACCAGGTACTGAAATGAACCCCTCCTTGGCATTAGAGGTTACTGAAGACTTTGAAATTGCAGTCAGAAAGGTCCACGGTGTCATCTGGGCTCTGTGGCTTGCTTACCTCCCCGGACTGGTAGCTCACTCTTCTTCCCCTCCCTGGGCGCGCGTGCGCGCGACCCTAGTTCCAAGCTCCATGGCGTGGGTTCCCGCGATGCGCG